TTGTACCCAGTGTTGCGACCTGCAGCCTATGTTGAGCCCCGAGACATGGCCGATGCTGCGACTGCCACTGGCCGTTGCTGTGACCAACCACGTGACCCGTGCCGAGACCGGCCGCGACGAGCGATGAGACGAGCGACCTGCTGCCAGCGCTGTGACCGCTCTCCCGTCCGGTCTTTCGCCCTCGACGACAGCACCGTTTACGCTCCCAGGGCCGCACGCCCTCCGCCGGACAATGGTCAGGCGCAGGTCAGAGGTCACGGGCCGGGTCAGAGGTCACGCGTCGGGTCAGGGGACGTTCGGCTCCCATGCCGGCGCGGCCGTTACTGTCGCCGCGCGCTGCGCCTGCCGGTGGCGACGCTTGTGGCGCGTTTGGCGCGGCGGCGGTGTGTGGCGGCTGCGGCGCGCCGGCTCCGCGCCGGCTCCGCGCCGGCCGCGCGACTCTAGAGCAAACAGGCTGCTGTTTGTGCTCGGACCTGGCCGGTGGGGCGACGCGCGGACTTATTTTGATAGGCTTCACCTGCCACTCCGTCCGGCGGCCCCGCTGCCGCCGGACGGACCTCACGGCCAGCGCTGGCGCTCGGCCGAACGGCTGGCGAGTGTCGCCGCTCTCGAACGTTGGTTTGGCGCCTCATCTTGCCGAGCGGGTGAGGGGATGGATACGCCGTTAAGAATATTCGTAACAGGCGGTGATTGTGCGGAGCGGTTTGCAAGATGTCTTGTCGTGTTAACACGGCGTACGAGGTTTGTGTGCTTGGTCACTGTCTGAGACGCAGCGGATTGATGCGGGAGTCGTTTTCCTTCTTTACACGATGTCTGTCTGACAATACCAAAAGATCCTGGCTGGCCGCTCGGGGTCTACCCTGGTTCGAGATGATCTCACGTTGCCCTGCCTCCCTAGTCTTGTGCCTGGGTCCGCCACTGCTGACGGCCGGACGGCGACTCCCTTGACCGGCCTCCTAGCACCGCCTCTGTCGCCGCCCGCCACCGTCCCGACATCCGACGCCTCACATGTGAATAGTGTGCGTCCCCGGCACCCGAAGCCGGCCTTGGCGTATTTGTTGTGATTGTTTGGCGCAGAGCCCGAGGTAGCTCGAGTGGGTGCCCGTTTCCGGACGGCACTGCCTGTGGGCGGCGCGCCCAGGTCGGTCACCGGGGGGCGCCACGGAAGCGAGCTCAAGGCGGCTTTGGAAGGATTGAAGGTCTGGATTCATCCCGGATGCTGTTGGTTGGTGTGTGGACGTCGATATGCTCTGAGATCGAATTCAAGTTTGGTGTGTGTAATCGGAATGTGTGGTCGGCTTTCTGCGTTGCGTGTTTTTTATGGCGAAAAGATGTTTTTAAGCCTTTTTAGTTACACGATAGGCTTATGGTACGCTGCCATGTATCCTGTTTTTTCATGTTTATAATTTTGTCTTCTGAGACGCAAAATTTACCTGCATGCGTACTCCATATCCCCTGGGCACCTCTCGTGTTGTCCTGATGCTGTACGCTCCAATGTGGTCAGCTGGTACGTCTATGTGCCGGTTCCAGTGTCCTGCTCAGGTTCAGCTCGCTCTGTTCCGACCCCGGTGCCCCCGGTGGCTGCGCTCCCATCTGGTGCGCCTGTTGCGCCCGCGCCGGCGGTGGCTGGCCCCTCCTCGGCTCGATCGCAGGCCAGGTGCGGCGCCTGCGCCCTCCGGCGATGCCCGGCGCCCCCGGGGCCGCCGGTCCAGCCGCCGGCGCCGGTATTTACGTCTGGTGCTGGCAGCATCGTGCACTGAATCAAGGCCCGGCTGATTTACGGTACCGGGCCGCGTGCTTAGATTTACAGCGCCGACACTTGAAAGGTGATTTTTCAACAGCTCAGCGGCGCTCGGCCAGCGTTAGAGGCGTCCGATCTCCCTTGGTCCACACCGCTTCCCTTATACCAGCGTGGGCCAACAGTCTGCCGTATTTACACCCTGACCTGCTCCAGTCCACCTCAGACTTCCCAGCCGTCAGCCTCGTCCCACCTCGGCCTGCTCCGGCCCGGTCCCGGTCTGTCCGTCCCGTGACCACCCCGCCTGCCCAGCACGCCCTCAGGGCCCTCGTGCGCCCGAGGCCCGGCGCGCTGCCGGCGCCACGGACGTGCCGGGCCATGTATGTATGATCCATGGCCGGCATCCATTGTACTGACCGTCGGCCTGCCGCCACCCGCCAATGTCGGAAAACAATGATATCTGGCCGGGAGCCAAGTCGCCGCGGCCACTGCCGCCGCCGCCGCCGCCGCCGCCGCCGCCGTCGGCAGGCTGTCTCGCGTCTCGCCGAGGTGTGCCGATTTCCATACGCCACCGCTGCGAAACACCGGCAATTTCGCCGTCGGCGGCGGCGGCAGGACACTTCCGCCGCCTTTGTGACGTCAGGGGCGGCAGCGGGCGCTGCGGTCGGCCGGGGACGCGGCCGCTAATGTCGGATTGTCCGTCCGGCCAGCCGCCGCGTTGGCCCACGCCGAAAGTGATAATGGATATAAGTGGTGAATTGTGGTGACCTTGAGGTGACCCGTAATGCCGGTCGGGTGACCCGACGCCGCGCTCCGATCACCTGGAAATCGGTCGATCCCGTGGTCTAATGGAGGCCGGGCAGACCTCGCCACCGGCTGGTGGGGAGCGACTCCAGGACCTTCTCACAGCCGGGCGGCATCGGCGATGTACCACCACCACTGCAGCCGACACGGGCTCAGGGGAATGCAGTGCAGCTCATCATGGTCTCGCGTGTGACGCGAGCACTGCAGCGGTATGTCTCGACGCCCCGCTGACATGACGCCGGGCCCCTGGTCAGAGCGCACCTTGACGTCCCATGCCATGGCCAAGGCACTTCCCACCCTCCTGGTGCTCCGTGTCAGAGTCGGGCCACCTCCTCACATGCCGTGACGAGGTCAGACTGACACGCTGTGACGTCACGTCACATGGCCACGCCGGTCGCGTACCGGGCACCGGCCGGAACCGAGGCCCGTACTGGCCGGACCCGCTGAATGGCATAGCCGGCGCCATTGTGTAACGGCCGCATCACAATTGGATTGTTTAGCCGGGCCGAGTTTTTCCATAACAAGCTCTCCACACATGGCCGGCGGTCGATCGCCGCTCGCCGACACGGTCGTCTCTTCCGCCGCCGGACCGGCGGCCGCTCTCTCGGCCGCGCTTTTACCGACGTGCTGGACCGCCGGGCTAGCGACGAGCGGTGCGGCCTTGCCGGCCCGTCCGTTGTTGACGGGTGCCCGGTCCATTGTTGAGGGGCACTCGGTCCGTTTGTGGTGGAGTCCGGTCCGTTCGTGGCGGAGTCCGGTCCGTTGCTGACGGGTGCTCGGTTCATCCATGGCGTTGTCTGGTCCGTTTGTGGCGGAATCCGGTCCATTCGTGGCGGAGTCCGGTCCGTTGCTGACGGGTGCTCGGTCCGTTCGTGGCGTTATCTGGTCCGTTCGTGGTGGATCCTGCCCGTTTGTGGCGGAGTCCGGTCCGTTCGTGGTGGAGGTCGGTCCGCCATTGCCGTACGTGCGTGGATAAGCCAGGCAGCTTGTCATTTTGTTGTTTGTCCAGAGCGCCTGGTCTTTCCGCGCTGCATTCCCCACCCGTCCGCGACTAGTGCCGCCCCCCCCCCTCCCCTCACCTCTCGCACTGACCGCTTGAGCTGTCAGAGCAAGGAGGTTAGGGACGCACCCGCAGTGACCTGGGCGACGCAGAATCTATACTGTCGACGTCACTCATGACATCATGCCCCGTAGATTCCGCCCGTTTGGTGTTCGCAGCGACCCGGACGACAACGACTCTACGTGGCGTCACGTAGAACCTTTGCCGTGTACGCGGAATCATCTTCTACCACTCGATCGGAGTGAGACAGAAATGGCTTAAAACAAATTCAATTAAAGATATGTAAATTTCATGCTCAGGGCCGACCACGAGTGAGAAAATGTGTTTTATACGTTACAAATATCACAATTTGTAGTTTCTATTCGTAGAAGCGCTGGGAGTTTCTGGGAATGAAAATAATGTGTACCCGCATGCGCAATTATTTTACTCCGACAGTCACGAAGATGTAAACACAAACCGAGTCGCGCTGCAAACACGCCCGGCAAATAATTTACGTGATGTCACGTAGAAGAGAACTTTCTTGGTGTACTGCAAATACGCTTAAGGAGGCGCACCATGCGCGCTGAGGAGGTCGGCCCGCGCCGCCATTCGGCCGCTTTCACGCACCGCCGTCCGGTCGTCGCCGGCGGCGGACCTCGTGACCCTGCCGGCCGACGGGTGCCGAGCTGACCCGGCCTGAGCGTGGCGGCGGGCGCGGCGGCGGCGGCGGCGCCGGGCCACGGGCGGGGTCGGGACCCGGCCGCCGCCGCCGGCCGCCGTGCAGCGGCACCGCATCCGGCGCGCGGCTTTCCTCGGCGCTAATTTCAGGCCAGAACGGCCGGTTGCCGGCCGGCCGGCCGGCCCGTCCGGTCGACGACGGCCTCGCCACTCCGGTGACGCATTTCGGGGACGGTGAAACTGGAGCTCTGAGGGGCTGGGCTGTGGACGCCGAGTAAGCCGGTGTAGCCGGGTCGCCGTGGTCGGTCGGGGTCGCGTAGCGCTACACATCTGCAATCTCTTAAAAAGCACGGAGACAGTGTGGTGTCAGCTTGCCTTAGCACGTGTCTGCAGTGTGTATCCCGTGGCGGTACCCCTGCCGTGGCGGTTGACCTCCGTCAATTCCCAACCCCGCGTGGACCGAGTGCCCCTCCCCCTCCTCCCCCTCCCCCGTCGGATGACTCACGTCGCGCCGCGGCATGCTGGCGAGACCCGTGTTTAGTAAACACCGGGTTTGTTTCGGATTATTTAGCTTCACAGCCGTGACGCGCATGACCAGGCGTCGCAGTCTCAGCGCCGCCGCCGAGCGTGTACGGGTCGACCTGCGGGCGGCGCGGCGCCGCTCCCAGCGGGCGGCCGGCGTCACCACCACGACCCTGGCGCGTGTGACCCTATCTGACGGCCGCTCCGTGCTCTTCGCAGGGATGCTGCTGCTGCACCGGGAGATCTGCTGCCAGGGCAGCGCGGGTGAGTAGCCGAGCGTCCCGCCGCCTCCGCCGCCGCCGCCGATGCGCCGACGCGCCGATGTCGTAAGCGCTTCTGAGAACGTGCTGAGAAAAGGGTCCGACGAACTGGAGGCGTGCCAACTCGCATGACGGATTCGCTAGATCCTATCAAATGGTCGCAGCGACGGCTTGAGGCGAGCGCTGGGCGAACCTTTGATGACACGATAACGGTAATATTGCAATAGCTTTATAACATTATAACTGATACATGGACGACGTTAAGCTGACCCGGAAACATACTACCCTGGTGGACGACATGACCTCAGAAAGAGCCTTCCCACCGGCGTGTTTGGCGATGGATCCAAACAGGGCCTCCCCCGCAGTTTCCCGGTCGGCCGTCGGCCACCCCTGGCTGCCGCCGCGGGACGTTGGTGGAGCGGCCTTTGAAGTCGACACGGCCGTGCCGCGTCCCGACCGGCGCCGCGGGCCACGCGGTCGGCTAAAAAGGCGTCCGAGGGCCGGTCGACGGCGATTGGCCGCCCTTACACCTCTGTTGACCTTCGTGACGGCCGTGACAAAGCGGGGCCCGCCCGAGCCGCAGCCGCGCCAAGCCAATGGCGGACGAACAATGCGTCGAACCGGCGTCGTCGGCCGCCGCCGCCGCCGCCGCCGCTGCTGCCGTGTTGCTGGTTCGGCTGACGCTGGACCGCTGACGCCCGACACTCCGCCACTGACACCCGACACTCCGCCGCTGACGCCCGGCACTCCGCCGCTGACGCCCGACACTCCGCCGCTGACGCCCAACACTCCGCCGCTGGCATCCGACACTTGACCAGTGACGTCCTACACTTCGAATGGCACACTGTAGTACATCACAAACGAACGGCAGTCGTATACTTAACCACAATGATTGACCACGACTGTCCGACGGGCGCACATCGACGCCTGATGACGACATCCGACGTCAGCGACGTCCGACTGCTGGCCGATGAGAGGCGACTTCGGTTGCTAGTGCGCGACTCAGTGAAAATGAGGTTCAAATACTTCCAATGAAATGTTACGACGTGGCCCAAAAGAGAACCGCAAATCCTGACAGAGTAAGTCCGGAGAGGAATGTAAACCAGCCAACGATTCGCGATTCAACGCATCGTAAAACTCGACGCTTTCATTAGCTATGCAAATGGCTTCGAAAGTGAGGTAAGCTGCGTGTTTGGAAGCCAGAGGTACGGGTTCGATTCCCCGCAGTGCCCGCCCTCCCTGCCAGAATGAGAAGCAGGCTGCGCCATGAAGCCTTAGCAGCTGATTGCGCCATCAAGTCTTAATGACACGGATCGGCATACAAACTAGGAATGCTCCCCATTTGCCTGTTTGCATCAGTGGCAAATCATTTGGATAATGCGATGAGCGAATCACCAACAAGCTTGCTGAATATAGCTCATGATCAACCCATGAACTTACCAGACATATATCACGGCTGGCACACGCCTCACGAGACGTTCGTGACTGAGGGGTGCGGGCAGACGGCCGGTCGCCGCCGCATGTTGTGGCCGGCGCCGGTCAGTTTTTGCTCCGGCTGACCCTGGCCGAAGGTCATGACCCCGCCGAGTGCCCTTGAGCCCGCCGTCAGCTGGCTCAGAGGCAACACAACAACAGCGGTGCGATGCTCTTCTCTGGGGATCATCGCTTGACCCACACCGATCAACTGGATCGACTGTGCGAATGGGGTTTTGTTTCGTTCCGATTTCCATGCAGACTTTCTCATAGCTAAACTTTCCTGTGGAGTCCAAACTTTCAATTCATGAATTGATAAGAATGAATTGAAGATGGGCAAGCGTGCTCGTATCTGCTTGTTTGCCTTCGTGGTGATAAATTTCGGGGATCCATGATCAGGCTTCAAAGCCTGGGAAGTTATGTTCAATTACCGGAGGGCGAATGGAAACATTCCGGAATCTCAAAGACCAGCAGTATTTCATTGTTGTGATTATAAACAAATAAGCGGGACTAACAAGAAACAAAGTCTTTCGTGGCGGTCACAACGTAGGTTTACGGTCAAATAAACTTATTAATTGGCAGAGCGGCGACCAGTCGAGACTGAAATGAACTCGACGGGGCTCCGTGTTTCGTGACCCTAGCCTAATTGGAGGCCGTGGTCTGATTTAGAGTCGTCGGACTGGGGCCGATATCAAATGGCCGATAAATATGTAGCGGCTGGCCATGCAACGCGCACGCGACGCAGGTGTCGGCCAAGGTCTAGACTGGGGCCACCCACAGCGTAGACATGATGACGGGGGGGGGGGGGGGGGGGGGGCAGTGGACGGCGGAGAGATGCCGAGAGGGAGATGGTGCGCGCTGCCGCTGCTGCTGTCAGCGTCCTGTGTGCTCTCGGTCTTGCGCGTCCTGCGTGTGGGCTGTCTCCATCCTCAGCGAAGGCCACCCGATGGTGTGTGGCCCGTCAGCCAGGAGACGCTCAGCCCTCTCGACCGTTCTGCTGTCTGGTGCCTTCCCATGTCAACTCACGTGTGGGACGGATCAGATACTTCTCCTGCTCCGCTCAAATCCCGACCTGTTATCTCACCCACACGTCACTCCGACCCTCCCACTAAGCGGCTACGTTTTTTTGTGCGCTGTCTAGTAGATGAGACAAGCCACAGCAGCGCTGCTCATGGCTTTCGGCGGCCACAACAGCGCTGACAGTTTAAAAGCGAACAGACCACGCGGCCCGAAGCGGACACCTGAGCGCCCGTCTCAACGTATGCGTATCGGCCGGACAGCGAGCCGCCGCTGCCAGTCCGTCATATGATCCCGGCCCTGTGTGTCCTGGCTCGCTGCCGCCTGTGCCCGCGCTCCATGACACCTCGCGTGCTCCCGGCCCTCGCCCTGGCGCCGCCCCCGTTCCGTCCCCTGCCTCCCCGGGCCGCCGAGCCAGGCGGTAGCAAGGCAACGCGCCCGGCACCGGCCTTCGATACGCGGTCGCCCTGACCAGGCAAACAGTCGTAAATTCAGCACTCCAACTCCGCGCCGCCAGCCAGCAGCACGCTGTCTTATCAATATCAGGATTTATGGGGATTTGGCGCAGACGGCGCGGCCAGCGCACGGTCGGAAGGTCCGGCGCGCGGCGCCCCGACGCGCCGGCCGGGCCCCCTCCCCTCCCACTGACACTGACCCCCGCCGACACCTGCACCCGGCGGCGGGGTGCACACAGGCGGCGGAGACGGCGCGTAGGCAAATCGCGAAGCGTTGCGTGCAGAGATTGATCACGGCAGTGCGTTCCTTTGCGAGACGGGCCGCCCACAACGGGCGTCTGTTGCAAAACTTTCCGGCCCGCTCCGCAGTGTCGGCGGCGCTCCTCAGGTGGTGCCGGTGGTTACGTGGGCCAGCCTGTCGCGGCGCCTCAGGTTCCACCGCTGCCTGCGAAGCCCACAAAACAGAACTATTACCGCCGCACAATGTCGTCTTTGTTCCACTGTGCGCGGCGAATCCGTCTCAGATTATCATCGGGGAACCATTTGCAATACTGCTTCATTAGAGGACAATCGCAGCGACGTTGCGGGGCTGTCATTACCGGTCGGTTCGCGTTGCTGCCGTTTGTCTTCTCGGCCGGATATTTGTGTGGCTGCGTGTGGCTGTGGCGTGGGGCCGCGTGCTCTAATGACCTGACCTCGGAAGAGATGCTGCGGTCCCGGCCTCACGCACGCGACCCCCCACCCCACCTCCCCTCCCCTCCCCGCCCCCGCCGAGCTGTTGATTCGGGGACGCACCCCGGTCCAGGCGGCTTCGACAAGGTCAAATTTACAGACGATCTGCGCTGTTATCAGATTTATCACTTAACGTACTTTGTTGTCAGGGAGTGCGCACTGTTTCCCGTGTTATGAGGCTACCGCAGTGTAGCTATGTGCGAGATGCTGCCCTCCAAATCTTCCAGAACATTGATGAAGGTCCCAACAGTATCAGACAATACCAGACGACGGCCCATCTCCCCCGGCTAAGCGCATTCGGCGCCGATCGAACAAGTTGTAATGCGCGCGGCAACACGTCTTCTGCGCTATCACAGCGCGCTCCGACGCCGTGTACGACACGGCCGTTACGACGCCGGCGTGTCGTTTGGCGCCGCCCGGCCGCGGGTATCACCGCTGCTCATCAGCGTGGTCACGGCTAATCTAGCCGGCTCTCCGACGGTCGTTTATCACCCATCATTGGCCGGCTTTGAGGACTCCCCTCCCTCCCCGCCGGCGCGGCCGGCGCGGCGGTGCGGCGGCGCGGCGGTCAGTCAGGACGGGCGCGCGCGATTGCCCGCGGCCAGGCGACCCAGCCATACCTGCTGTACGCGCCGCTGTCCGGCCGGCGGTCGCGGCCGGTCACGGTTTGATGGTAATGATGCGGCCGGCCGGGGCGGGCACACTCGGTCCGACGGGCGGTGACCCAGGCGACGCGACAGGGGCGCGCACATCGTTAGTCACCGCTCGGGTCATGTCGGGTCAACAATGGGTGGGGCGCGGATAACAAGCCTGTTTGGGCATGTTCTGCCACCGGCCGGAGCGGGAGACGCTCAGCGCACGCCGGCTGGACAAAGCGGATGGGACCACGTCCGATTTGTAAGCGATCCGGCCGCGCCGGGTGGGAATTTTCCCCCGACGCGTCTGCAGCAGGCGTTGGATGAAAAGACACGGTGTAAATGGCGGAATGTGCCCCTAGGAAGGAATGCACCCACCCCAAGAAGCAGCTGAACTTCTGCCCGACTGCGCTCATCCCGCGTCCTCTCAGAGCACGCTGGGAGCACTTGAAAATAAATCATGCCGAAAATGGTCGGCTGCTGCGGAGGCGCAGGCGCCCGCGGTTCGTCTCTATTGGCCGACAATCGGACACGTTATGGTCTCGTCGGCGTCTGTTCAGTGTCCGCGACTGGGCACTGGCCAACAATTCATTCGTCGTCTGTCCGTCTTTGAAAGGAGGGCAATCAATTACTGGCGAATGGAGTCGGCCGTGAACAATAGACCCTGACCAGAGCGCGGCGCCAAGACGGAC